GTGTGTGTGTGTGTCGAGTATCTTTCTTCGACGTCCTCAAGACGTCCACTGGATCTTGCAATTTATGGCCATTGTGCGGCCAGCGGCATAACTGTACCAATGACGATGGAAAAATTGTCGATGATTTAAACTACAGAGACGGACGGAGAGAAAGAGAGTGTCGGTATTAATTTAGAAAGAAAATCACGTAGTAGATCGATTTGGTCTCGTTTGAAGCTTCCAGTTTGACTAGCCTGACTGTGTTTCTTTTCTTTCCTTTTTTCCGTAACTAGATCATTCTGAACAGTGAAACTTGTTGCACTTTTGAGCTTTTCCCCCATCACTTTATCGAACAATTACGTTGAATTACAATTGACCATTGAACATCGGAGTCAAAAATATAAGGGAAATTCTTAACGTTCAATTTTTATCTTCCAAGTTCAATAAAATGGCAAAAGAAAACACAGAGTTGTAAAGGGGAAATTTCAATCTTCAAGACCATGGTAGATTTCGTCATGGAAAGAAATTCAACGTTTCTGCACGCGTCTGGATTTGCATAATTTTCGGGAAGAGAGGATTCCCACTTCGAAAAGAACGAACGCTCAATTGTTAAGGTAGAAGGCTCGCGCTTTAAAATGGCACCAAGTGAATCGTCACGTGATCTTGCGCGCATTCGGGATAGAAATTTTGGAATAATTTTCGAACAATCGAGAGGCGAATTAGAAAAGCGGAAACGTAAATTTTCAAGGTGTAATTATACGAGATTTATACCTCGGGACCGGTGTGGGTAACAATAATAAAGGATATTGACGAACAATAAAACGATTGTTCGATTACAAATTTAAACGCTGGGAGACTTCTTTTTGCGCTTACGCTTAGGCTTCTATCGCGTCGAGAATAGTTTAAATTATTCTCTCTTTGCGCGCGTGTTAACGCAGTCGTTATTGTTGGATTATGAAGGGGTTTGCGAGTTAATCAGAGGTGTTGAGGAAGCTTAATGTTCGTCGAGAGAGTGACGCATATTCGTATCCGATTTTCTTAATGCAACCTGAATGCATATGAGATGCCATGCATATTTATGCAGATTTTCTGATTAAAGTCACGCAACAGACTTCGTAAGCGTGTTGGTGTAAAAAAGCTGCTGCAAGTTTCGAAAGTTATTGATTCACCCGGCGGTTTGCACGTACATGTATATATACCGAGTATGCATTTTCTTTTTTTTTTTTCTTTTTTTCGAAGTAACTTCCTTCCTTCCTATTCATTAAAACTGATAAATATGCATGAACCGAAATTTATTTGAAAGCGTTTGACGCGATACCAAGATTAATTACGGCGAATCTTGCGGAGTTCGAGTTACACGAGTTGGACGTTATAAAGTGAAATTTGAGGAACTCGTTTGGGAAACGCGTTTCAAGTTTGACAAGCTGTCTTAAACCGAGAAACTTGTCCGCAATGACAACCTCCGTTATATCCGACAATTACTCGAACTCTCACCTGTTTCGAAATAACATGTTTCTCAATTTCGATCGGGCTGAAAAGTTTAATTAAACGTTATCAAGACAAATTATCGTTCCGTTTCTACGATGGTGTTTTAACTCGATCTCACAGATCTTGATACTCAGTGTTATTCTAACTTACGATCAATCATTGTAAATCTGTTCGAGGAAGAACGAGGCGAGACTTAAAAGAAAAAGAATTGAAATTAAAATTTCAAGGAAAAAAGAAAATTGAATTTTAAACACTAGAGAGATACACCAACGTTTCTATGAATTTTAATTCGACGAGATTCTTTGATCTGGCAGATCTCGGTTCCCAGTGTTATTCTAACTTACGATCAATCATTGTAAATCTGTTCGAGGAAGAACGAGGCGAGACTTAAAAGAAAAAGAATTGAAATTAAAATTTCAAGGAAAAAAGAAAATTGAATTTTAAACACTAGAGAGATACACCAACGTTTCTATGAATTTTAATTCGGCGAGATTCTTTGATCTGGCAGATCTCGGTTCCCGATGCTGCTGTAACTTACGATTAATCGTTGTAAATCCGTTCTCAAGAGAAAGAACGAGGCGAGATTTTGAAAAAAAAAAAAAAAAAAAATTACACTCCAGGGTCGGGGCCGACGAGCGTCTTAATGCCTCATAAATGGAAAGGCATTAGAAGGCGGAAATACGCTGATTGGATTCCAGCGTGCTGCACGGTTTCGTAAAAGTGCAAAAAGTTTAAGACACTCTACTTAGCCAACTCGGACGTCTGCTTTCAGCTTTAAGTATAAGTGCCGTGATTACTGCTGAGAAAGCACCCGGGTTCTCGAACTTTCCCGTTTAATCCACCGTCATCGAAAATGAACTCGCGCGTGTTTTAAAAAAAAAAAAAAAAAAAAAACAGGAACTGGTTGTTCATCGAATTAAAATACGCGCGAGAATCAGTAAGTTAGTTGGAAGTTTCAATCCAGTGAGCTTTCGTTTCAACCGAAACGTCGTTGCACCGAGTCGCACGCGAACGTATCGATAATCAAACTCACGGGGACGTTGTTGCGGAAAAACAGAGCGACGTTGTTGCGAAGTTAAGTTGCTGCAACAACTGCTCGTGACGTTGTTGCAACGTCTCTGCATGATGCGCGCCAAACAGATTCGATAGAGTTTCGCCACTTTTCGCGAATGTCACGCCAGGCGAAAGTTCTCATCTCAGTTAATGACACCTGCGAAGAAGAAGAAGAAGAGAGAGAGGCGCCGTCTGAAATCGCGCCACACACGCAGAGCCTGGAATATATTCAACGTTTCGACACGATGAGAGCGCGAACGTTTCAATGCGACGACGTCCGAGTGCAAATGCGCGGTGAAATCGAAACGAAATGGCCGCTAGTCACTCGATGTGCGATGTGCTCTCATGCGTTTTTCAAGCGAACTCGTTCACCAGCGAACCGATCCCGATATTAATTTAGCGAGCGCGATTGAAATGCAAAATCGTTGCGTATCTTCGAACGTTACCGCGGAATAAAGAAAATTCAAGAATTCTTCGAGGATAGAATTACATTCCATTAAGAGAGATGACACATATTTCGTTATTTGCTTTCAATTAATAGTTGCTACAAATTTGAACTTGAATATATACCAGCCGTGATATGCCA